GAACTTTACTAATTATCAGTGCCAAGTATGTCACTGAGTAATTAGTGACTATCCACTGATTCAGATTTAGAGAGTAATGATAATTTTTAATAGAAAGTTAAAAAAGAACGTTGATTTATATCATTTCTTTTTATATTGAATATTTTAGTAATAATAACGACATGTACACATACATACACACATTTTACTTAACTCAGAATCTAATTAATTTATATATATTAATTTATATATATTATAATATATGTATAGGAAAGGATTCTATTATGATATACTGATTTCATTTGACATTTTGGGTAAATGCTGGGAGTTCATGAGCAGAATTTAAAAAACAGAATAAATTATTTTGAAAGTAATGTAATAAGCTTTGAGATAATATGTTATGTAAAATTTAATTCAAATTCTCCTTTTTTTTTAAATTAAAATGTGAAGGTGAGTAAATTAAAAAGTCAAAAAATTGAGATGTCCCGAAAAATCAATAATAAAATGCAAAGTACATCAGTATTGCAATTGAAAAACTTTATGTAATGTTTCTCAAATACAAACAGATATTAGTTTGCCAGTGTGTGCGCAAAATGAGCATACGTTGCATTGTACTCAGGACTACTTGTACTTGGAATCAAGCATCGCAGAAATAAGCATTCTGTTTTTATCCTTTTTATTATTGCACAATAACATTTATACTTTAGCGATTTTCGGTATGACATAGATTATTTTATATTAGAAATATCTCAAATTACGATTTCCACGCATTACGGTTTTACGATCATCAAATTTAACTTCTGTAATTAAGCAATTCACATATCCCATATTTTTCTATTAATACAATCTTACTCTATCACTACATGAAGAATTTATTGCCAAATATTTACTTTTTATTAAATAATAAACAAGGTTTAAAGACTCATCTCAACGAAACTTGAAGACATCCAAATTCTAAAATGTTTTTTTATAACGACTACAGGAATGATCTAATAATGAATTTTCCACTAAATAATTTTCTTTCCAAGAGCAATAAATTTATGGTGAAATCAATAGATAGCGTTTATTAGTTTAATAGAAAGGCCGCTATCTCATAGTAGGCGCCTATAATAGAAGGCTTTTCTTTATATATTTATTACAATATAATGCATATAAACACATAGTATTGTATTAATTATATATTTCATTAAAAATTATGTAAATAAAATAAAGGATTTTAATTCTCATTTGAATACTTAATTTTACCAGATGTTAATTAATTTGCGCGTTTTAGTGTCGAAACAATGTGTTTTCCTTCTTAGTGCAATATTTCTGCTAAAGAACATACGATTACCTTACAATGATTATCGTTCATGAATAACAAGTATCAAAGTGAGAGCCGTTGCGTATCATACCGCAACTCTCACCACATTTAAAGAGCGTGCATAATTAACGTTGCGTACAAGGTCGACCAGCTAATTCTTGTAACATGATAGTCAAAATATTTTTGTTATCTTGATAAACTAAACTAGAGAGAGAGAGAGAGAGAGAGAGAGAGAGAGAGAGAGTTGTTAATCGTTAGATTCACTGTAATTCCTACTGTGGCATGCAATTGATTAGCGATAGCTCTTGCCACACTTCATGTTCAATTTTTGTAAAAGTCGCACTAATAAAAAGTGTTTGATAAAGTTAATTTTTTAAAATAAAATTTCAGTAGACTTTTTGCAATTATCGTGTCCTTCTACATATTAATTAATCTGTTTTTTTAACGTACGATATTTCTACAATAAATCTTATATTAAGTGTTTATTTCAAAGTTTGTTTTTAGCTTGAAAAAGCAATTTGCTAATATGTTTCTAACTGATGTTAGAAGATAATAGCTCTAATTACAAAATGAGTAACATAATAAGAGAAACACTTTGCAAGTTGGCGTGTTAAAAAAATAAATCCGCCTTAATGTTTTTAAAAGATTGCTAATTAGCAAAATGTCTGAATCATCTCATCGTATAAATCTTATTTCGACCTTACAATTGCTACACTGTAAGCTACACGCAAACGTTAGAAATTTTAAAATAATACTGAAAGAGTGCGCAGTATCTTTGAATTATTGTTATTTACTTTAATGAAAACATTTACATACTAACTATTCATTCATATTTCTTTTTTTTCGTAAAAATTTAATTAAATACCTTCTCCTCTTATAGTCTTTTAATTTGATAAAAATATATACGCAAAATATGTGTGGCAACATTTTTTGGAATATTAGTTATATCTTTGAATATGATAGATTTTAATTTATTATTATCTTCTCTTTTTATTATATCACTTTTGCTTTCGTAAAACATGAAAATAGATAATATTCTTATCTTGAATATATTTTACATTTTTCTGCAAATCCTAACGATAAAAGTTATTAAATAATCGCAGATGAAAAAATTAATTATACTGAAAATAATGATTCTAATAATTACAATTTATGATTTCAACATTATAGTTTGCGATTGAATTATGTTAATAATACCGCTAATTAAATCTCAGTATTTCAACAAGAGTAATTATATGAGAGTTATAAGTTATCTAATAAAACATCGTTGTTAGATTAGTTAAATAATGGATATTAGAATGTATGATTTTTATTATTCCGTATAGGTTTTGTTAATATCTTATGAATAAGAAAAATGTTTAATCTTTAAAAATCATTTAGATATTTTCACGCTTGAAATATCACAAAATGATAATGCTGATTCACGCTGCTGGATAATGTTAACACGGTATTTTTAGTGCGAGTTAAAAATTTAATTATATGACAGAACTAATGACACATAAATCGATTAAAAGATTAAAATCGATTAAAAATTGCTTTATTGACTAATTATAGAAATTGCAATGGCCAAGTAATTAATTGCTTATCTTGTTAATAAAAGTAAAAATGTAGATTAAATTTCTGTTATTTTGTATTAAGTTAATTCTTAGATAAAACTCTTGTTTATTCTTTTTTTTATGAAAAAAAAACAGGGAAAATTATTGTTAAATAATTTATTAAAAAAGCCGATAGATATAAAATATCTTGTACAAACACGTGCACTATGTTAAATGCTATGTGCAACATAATGGAGGTCAAAGTGTACTGGGTCAGTGGAACACGAGTGATAGAGGACAGGTTGCACAGCACAGTTATATACGCATCACTTCGATTAGCTTCACTATCGCCCATTAGTTTATCCTTAACATGTCTTCGTAAGAACTTGTTATTTTAAGAAATCAAGAAAACTGAATTTTCTAATTTGATTGTGATTAGGAAATGTCTTAAAAGAATAATTGCATGTAATAGTAGTTATACAATAATAGAATTACTTATGCATCACATACGTGTGTATATATACACATACATATATAAAGTAACATACACAATACTTCACATTACAATACATTATATTATATTACATTACATGTAAAAATATATTGAAAAGAGTTCTTGATTTCAATTATTTTATATGTAGAAAAGTAAAGGAAGTGTGAAATACAATATCATTCAGTGTTAAACTTTCAAGTAATATTCTGTTATTGAAATTTTTGAAGCTAATAAATAGAAAATGTTTTTTGATAATAATTAAGATTTTTGTGTATTTTTGTGCACCAATTTAATTTCTTATTTTTGGATGTATCGATCATAAATCTATTTTAAATATTTTTTGAATCTTAGAAATACAATTTTAAAGTTGTAAAAATACTTTTTAAATAGCGTGAAGTGAAAGAAGAAAATTACTTCTATGCTTTTTCTACGTTGCT